TAATTAAAAAATATTTGTTGACAAGTTGGCAAATTTAATGTTGTACGAATATTGTTTAAAGAATGTTGTTATTATTCATAATTTCGGTATGTTATGTAGTTTATATTCGGTATTTGTCAGTGACCGAAAGCTTCTGTACCACGGACAATAGTAGTAAGTGTTAGACCATGCACTGCGGATACACCCCGATGGGCTGTATGATGCTAATCTCTCAACCCTGCAGTAATTTTATTTGATATGTATAGTACGGGACGAACCCATTACAAAAATTTAAATACAGTACATTTTAAAAAAACATCACGGTAAACTGGACTGGCTGTTTAACAATAGGAAGAAGACGGGTCACTATTAGCAATACGCAACATACGGATAATTGGGGAGTTAATATAGTAATACAATAGCGGCGCAGTTTTATTGGGGGAAATAGTAAGCATTAATTCCAATCGCCGTTAAACGCTACGCCGATATTGTTTTAGCCTTTTTTGAGTTGTATCTGCAATTTTACATAAAACAACAATAGGCTGAGTAGTCTATATTATGTAGTAAAACAAAAGCTTGATGTAGGTTATGGTTAAGGCACTGACATATAACATATTTCATTTTTAACTCTCAATAGAACTATGTACATACATTAATTAATTTTAGCATAATTTTAATGTTTTACAAATATGTTTATACATTTTCTCACAATGATATTTTTACTAAAAATTGTATGTGCATCGTCATGTCATAGTCCATTCAATATTAATGATATTTGTAAAACGCGCACAATGCGGGCAACGTTCCTTATTCGTGGCAATAAATCATTTTTTGAAATTTTATACAGCAATAGAACACGATTAATGCATTAATAAATATATATTTGTGCACACTTATTTTCATATCATCCTCATGCTTACATAAGCTTATGCGCAAGTGACAACACATCACGCTTAGGTTGTTTTTGTCGTATGCTTTTAACACAGACAAATGCATAATAAATATATTATACATCTCCAGATAGGCCTGTTACTAGCGTTATGCAACAAATGAAATAAGACTATCGCCGAGTGCTGCTTCTATGCAGTAGGTAGGTATTCGTCTCTGTAATCGGCGGGAAAGTTTCCATTCTTAAAATGGCTAATACCTTACACCGTCACTGAAATGCATATGATGTATTACTTAGTGTCCACGTAAATACTCAAAGCCCTTGTCCATAGAACTTGAACGTTTAGACATTTTCATTGAAGAATACAACGAAATTGTATAAATAACGTTTTCGCTATCAAATATCGCATATTGTACTTAGGTGGGTTGCGTAATAAACATCTCGAGAGTTGTAATCGATCGTTTCGTTAAATAACAAAACTAAAATCGTCATACCTTGTGTAACAATAACACAACTAAACTAGTCTCACAAAATCGTTATTTCTGTACAGTGCACACAAATAATAACGCACGCCGGCTGTCGCATCTTTTGATGTTATATTAACTTCAATGTGAAGCTGAGAAAGTATTGATTTTATGTTTTCACTAATTAAACGATGCGGCGGAAACTCTGAGGTTCAGTAAAATATTATGTTTTTTATTAGAAAAATCGATCCACACATTTATATAGTGCATATCCTTTTTTCAGTTTCTATTAATAGTTCTAAAATATATTTATAGTGTATACAATCTAAATGTTTAACTGCAAAGTGATAAATTAAATGTATTAAAAATATAAGTATATTTACCTTTTTTTTCAATTTCATTTTTTATTTTGTTTAAAAATATTCTCAGCTTAATGTTTTATAAAACCAAAGGGTTTTAGGTGTTTATTCAAGCTGACGTTTATTTCATGATGCTTTACAATCACATAATTTATTGAGTTTTTCAATTCAATTCTAATAAAAAAACGGTTAAGTAGTTTATTATTAAAAACTTAGCAGTCATCTCTAAGAGTTTTGTATTTGATAGATATTTAAACGCATTTGTACAAACGATGAACCACGTTGCTATTATTTTTCCAGTTTAAAGCTTTTGCAATTATGATAAAATAAGTTTCTTATCTAATATTTAAATTGGTGAGTATTAAAAATTGTTTACTGTCTTTACACTTATCAAAGACAACATCTGCTAATAATTATTGTTACGTCACATTTTGACATTTAAAGCAAAACAGTAGGTATATGCGTGCAATTTAATTTGTTTCTATTTTTAAATTCAGCGTGTCCGAGAGTCCACATTCGTCAGATATATTTAACTTCTTATGAGAAAATAAAAGTTCATTGCGGTGCTTGTTAAATGAATTGCAATTACACGTGCTGAAATGACCCGCAAAGTTCAGCGTACAATTAATCAATTCTAACGTTTCGATGTATTAAATTTAAGCTGTTTAACATTTTTATCTGTCATCTGTTTGTCGTTAGTATAATGCAGTTATGCAACTGTCTAAAAAAATAGTTAGGAGTTGTTTCAATTTAAACATACATCATTTTATCATGATCATATATCTATTAGAATTTTTGCGGTGGACGTCAACCTTAGGGTTAATAAAACAAATTTGCAGGATTATCTATTTTAGAGGGAAGGGTTCTGTCGAGAAAACCCTCTGGCTGTGTGATGAAGCAAGACCAGAAAACAAACGTCGAGTGAAATTAATTATAGCTGGCAGCGTGCCTTAGTCCGTAACCGTGTGTATTAAATTGTCTGTTAAAATCATAAGAAAAAAAGCGAAAAAGCAGCACCATTGGTCTGAAGGCATTACTTGAGTGAGTATAAAATCATTTTCATTGAAAATTATAAAGGCTTAATGCACTAATTAGTAAATATTTTTTATCGTATTTGATTTTTTCACCAAATAATATAGAATGTTATTTTAGTTTCTCTAATAAAATTAAAAAACGTGAAGCGATAGTTGGTCATTGTATCAAGTGACAACAAATATTCAATTCATATACAAACTGGAGCGAGCAGAGTTATCAAAAGTATTTTTGAGATCGACTAATTTAATTTAAACCGTTTTAGGTGATACACACATCGTGAAATTTAACTACGGACTAAAGTTAATTCAAATTTTAAAAAATTCACCCTGTAAAACCGAAGTTTTTGTCGAGTCATTTAAACATTAGATAGTAAATAAAAAACATTTTATAGTTCTCTTTTTATAGCGTTTAATTTGTCATAATGATTTACTGGTCAAACATTATAAATATATACTAAACAGTTACTTTGGTCATGTCGACAAGTTTTTTTACGAAAATGATTTATTAAATATTTAGATCACTATTAAATCAACGATCCGCACTATATTTTTAAGGGGTACAAAATTGAATTTTTCTGCTTGAAGTACGGCGAAAGCGATGATAAATGCAATTCTGTCTGACTTTCGTTTGATTTGGAGTAGGTTTAATCGTTGGCGGTCGTTTCGACGCCTCGTGTTAGCATTCGGCATAATAGAACATGAACGATCATCGGCTATCAATGATTCTGTTTTATCATAAATCACCGACATCAATGCGACGCCTCCTTGTTTTCTCCTTTACCTACTCCCCGTTGGCTAGACGGCGAGCACCACTTTTCACGCACTGAAAACACATTGACTGCGGCGGCGCCCTGCCTAGTCGAGTAGTTCGGTAGGTAGGCAATAGCGACGTAATAGCGGTTTCTAAACTAGTTTACTCGGTTTCGGTATTCGGTTTGGAATTGCAGAGGCCAGTGCGGTTACATGCGACCATTATGGTTACATAACAACCATACTATTATCTTCTTACATGTTTTCGTTTGTTGTCGTTTTGACATTTGCCGTGGCCCTCCGAACTTGCCGTGATTACGACCTTGACGGCAGAGCGCAGCAAGAACTTCCTACTACTATTCACACACACATACTATGTATGTGTTAAGAAATAGCCAACATGGAGTTGATCGAACGACGGTGAAAATTGTACAGTCATTGGGTATTGTGGCAAATACTACAGTCAAACGCGGTCGAACGGGTTTGGATTGATCAGACGAGCCCAGACGATATGTCCTAACTCTTAATAGATAATGGGGCGCAATAAATTACTGATATTTACCCAATACAAATACATGCAGCGTTTGGTATTGTTTAAATAGGTACTTAAATAATCTACCTGATAACTGGTCAATCCATAATGATAACTATTTAACAAGTATCTTACGGTAAATTAGTTACTTAACACGAAATATTAACAAAATATACAATAAACGTATTAAAAATAATTGTATTCTATTATTTGGATTATTTGTTTTACACTTGTTTATTTCGTATGTCGTACGTTTAAAATAAATAAAATATTATTTAAATGCATTTTACAATAACGTTTTACCTAATTATATTGTATGTGGCTAACATATAAAATATTTTATGTCATATGATATTTTACGTGGTTTGGCGGAGAAAATACAAAAGTTAATGTGTAAATAATATAGATATTTTCTAATAATAGTAGTACTAGACTGTTAAATGTCATTATTTGCATACAAATACGAGAACCTCGGAGTCTTTTCGTGGCTAGCTTATAGTCACTTTCGGTTTTCGTAGAGACTGTTGAATATTCAATTTCTATTAGATGTTTTTAATAAATCATTTTTACTTCACCAATAATCAGTAAATGTTATTATATTTATAAGAAATCTTGTGATTATCGTTTGATAAATCTTCACTTGTAAATTTATTTTTAAAATAAACATTATCAGCCTCTAAAGTTGTATCTTATAGTGGGCAAGCGTTATTTTTTTAAGATAGGAAACCAAGCAAAACTTTATTTTATACTCTTATCGAATTATAATATTGGTAGTACATTGGATTTATTATTTTATGAACTAATTTTATAAACTACGACGAGTTAAAGTTGTAGTTTACAATTATAAACTTTATAATAGAAAATAAAACAAATAATTTCTAGTCCAATGTATTTGTTGTAATTCATTATCTAGGTTTAATTTCCCAAAGAATTTAACACCTTCTAATTGATAATAATTATATCGGCTTTTAACTTTTTTTGTTGTTGTTGCAGGGTAAATCAAAATGGAAGAGAAAAGCGAGGTAGCAGAGTTCTTCAGTGGACGGTCGGTGTTTGTTACCGGTGGCACAGGGCTGATGGGCAAAGTGCTCGTGTGGAAGTTATTGACAAGTTGCCCAGACTTGAATAAAATATTCGTGTTGATCAGAACTAAAAGGGGCAAATCCGCTTATCTCCGGTACCAGGAAATTATTAAAGCTCCAGTAAGCATTAAAATAATTACGTACAATTTATTATCATCGGATAGTAAACAAAAATCGATTTTTTCCTAATAGTTGTTCGACGGCATAAGGAAAAACAACAAGAAATTGTTAGATAAACTGGAAGTAGTCAGCGGCGATGTTGGCATAGACGAACTCGGTGTTACGCCTGAATTGAAAGATAAGATCATTTCATCTGTCTCGATCGTCTTTCACGGAGCTGCCACATTGAACTTGGACGCTACGCTCACAGAGGCGGTCAACTTAAACACCAACGGAACATTGCGAACGCTCGAGTTTTGCTCAGTCATGAAGAATTTAGTGGTAAAATACCGATTACACAGGATATTAAACAATTGTTAACACTCAATAAAATAACTGTACTCAATTGCGCCTAAAACATTAAAACAGCATATAGAAAATAGGTTATTCATGGTTGTACGTCTATGTATTTCCTCTACCAATTAGAGCTCAGACGACTTATAGATTTGGCAGTTCAGAGTTTTTACAAATGGCTGAAAACAAGCTTGGCGCCTAAGAGACAGGTGGCCTTTTCTTCCTCTAGACAAGGCGCAGCGACCGTCCGTTTTTACACTCAGCCAAGCGCCTGCCTCTATACAGAATATGTCTGTTAACATAATGTTAGATTGCTTATGACTAAGATAAGGATAATGTTTCAGATTTGGTGGATATCTGATCATCCGGATTGACCGAACCTATTTATTACATTAAAAATAGATTAAAACATTGGTACGAATGGAAATAATTCACTAACATTTTAATCGTTGTACCAACGATTTATCATTATTTAAGAAAGTCTATTTATTACATGGAAATCTTTAACTTTAAAAAAAAAAATATGAAAACGTTAATTACTAATCATATAATAAATTAACAATACATTAATTTGATGATATTTTCATTTTCAATTATCTCAAAGGTAAATTTATATTATGAATTTAAGTAAAATATTAACAACTTGCTAGGAATGAAATTTAAGTTGGAATTTATGAAGTATTCTAGTATTCAAAAAAGGATTAATCGAATACTAAAAAATTTAAATTTTATTCGTAATACTCATGTAAGGTTGTTTTATTATAATTATGATAATTGATATATTTGAAGTTCATACCGAATTATATACTGGACAAATTTGGTCTTCCGTCACTAATAACCATTATTGTACACAATTTGGGATGTGTTCTTTAAGTCAATTGATATTTTTTTTCATACTTAGATTTCCTAAAAAGACAAAATAATGCTTTTGTAAACGTTGATAACAGTGTTTTTTCTTAACTTATAATCACGTAGAACAAAGTCAACTCTCCTTACTATCGTTATAGGGTTAAAGTAATTGAAATACAGTAATAATTGAAATACAGTACGGCAATCTCTTATGGAATGCATTTTTTCAGGCGTTTGTTCATTTTTCTACTGCTTTCTGTCACGTAGACTTGGATTCGTTGAGCGAAGAGGTGCACAAATCGGCTTTTGACGCTCGCAACATAATCAGGTTACAGACGTGGCTCAACGAACAATCAATCAAAATGGTTACACCCCAGTAAGAATAAGTCTGACATTATTTTAAAACTTTTTTCAAGGCGTTTGTTCTATTTATTGGAGAAATTTATTGAGATACGTAGGTTCTGAATGGACGATGTTTTAACACGTTATTTATGAACAAAGGGCCACACCATTCCTCAGTAAGGAATAACAAAATAAATTATTTTTCATGATCCTATAGAAACACAAAATAACTGTATTTATGGAATGTTTTTTTGTTGAAATGTATTCTAGCCGTCTTACTTGTGGGGTTCTTTGTTTTCGTTACAAATAAATTACAATATTATGTACCATGGTAGACAATTATTGACTATCGAAACTTAATTTGTTCGATATTTATTACATATTATATTATAATTTACAATGGCTGAAGCCTGAATTTAATGACTGATATTTTTTAGTCTAATCCTACCTCATCCGAATACTTACACGTTTTCGAAGCGTTTGGCCGAAGACATTGTCAGCGAGTTCTATCCTCAACTTCCTGTCACTATCGCCAGACCATCAATAGGTAACAGCATTGCTTTTAACGTGAAAAACGATTCATGTGAGATTCCTGCCGACAACAGAGAGATGTCACGGCATAGCTTAGGTGAACGGATAGTAGAACCTACAATCTACTCGTCTAAGCTATGACGGAGCATCCCTGTTGACAGCGGGGTCACACGTGAAGCCGGTCGTCCTATTTGTGCACATCACTGCTTATCTATGTATTAGTCAAAATATGCATAGTAAATATGTAATAAAAATGTATGCTTTAGTGACTCCTGCTTTAAAGGAACCGTTACCTGGTTGGGTAGACAACTTAAACGGCCCTACTGGTATACTGGCAGCCGGCGGTAAAGGTGTGCTGAGATCGGTCTTGTGTAATCCGGATTACAATGCCGAAGCCGTGCCGGTGGATTTGGCGATTAACGCTGTAATCTCTATAGCATGGAAAACTGCTACAACCAAAGAAAAGTAAGTAAATAAAACGGTTATTTTATAATTCAAACAAATTTCGGGTTAGGTGTATTAGAGAAAACGGAAAAAGATAATTAAAATTTAACATGACATAAATTATTAAATGAATTCGATGTAACGACTCGCTTAATTAAGTACTCTGACCACTGGGAGCTGACCTACTATGTTTTATCATTAATATACTTCAATTTTTATTTATTTAAAGTAGATTATATAGTATATAATTTCAGTGTTTAATTGAGAGCTCCCTAGTTTGGATTCAGGTTATCTTTTACCTGTTAGTTATTTAATTAAATTTAAATTTTTCCGAGCTTTAATAATCCGTAACCATAATTAAGTTCAAATACCTTGTTAATTACAATTGAAGGGCTGCGGTGAAAAAATATCAATGTCAATTTTTGTTCATTTTGCCTGTATGTCTAAACTTCCGGCGGTCGTTATTCTCGACTAATCTGTTTTTTTCCCTAGTTCGAGCGCATAAAATATACAATACGTCAATACAAATAATTTGATACCAAAATCTCATTTTCAAAAAAAATTGCCATTGATCTTTTTTCCCCGCAGCCCTTCAATTAACACTTCAGTTCGTTTGTATTGAGCTTTGGTTTGATCGTTTCCACGAAAATTACATATTTCTATTGGAAATATTAACTATTAAACAAAACGTAACTGTTTTACAGACGAAACACCATTCCGGTTTATAATTTGACGCAACACAATTTAAATCCGATCACTTGGCGGACGGTGATGGAAAAAGGCAAAGAAATTGCTTTCAAGTATCCGTTTGAACTGATGTTGTGGTACCCTAGTGGAGATATGACGACCAACCGGTTTTACCACATGTACAAAGTGATTTGCTACCATTGGATACCTGCATACTTAATCGATACGATTATGTTTTTGCTCGGCCAAAAGCGATTGTGAGTATATGAGATACACTTATGTACAGGTAGGCCAGAAATAAATGTGTGAACAAATTCAAATTTCTATCAAGTTATTGTTATCTATATTATCGTATAAGATTAAATGTGTAAAGAAAGTTAATTTAAATTTTTGTTACAACTTTGAATGCTTCTGTTCTTAGTAATGAGATGTTTACTTTAAGCAGGTTAACGCAAGAAAAATGTTGACATTTCACTAGAGTCGATGACTATTAAACAAATTATTTATTTTCATTCCCTTTTCTTAGTTTTTACATTTTTTTCTGATTCAATGCCAGAAAGACACATTGTGGTAATATGTGAATGATTTCTCTACCTTAATTACTCCTAATAATCGGATAGCTTCTATTACTATGTCTTTAGGGCATCTTCTGGATCGTTTTTAGCTTGGCTTTCACCTTATGACCTGTCTAACTGGTCCTTATAACTTATACTTATACTAAAAAAAATATCTTAATTTACGTATTATTATTTATTAATAATTCTTTGTAAATATAGATATTGATATATACTATATATCAATATTATATAGTATTGGAACAATGTGTATGATCAACATTATCACAGCAATGATTAAGAAAACTTAATTTGGCAGTAATTTTGTGTTAGTTATACATATTAATACGTCTTCTTAACACATCGGTGTGCAATACTATACTAGATACCCAATCAAAATTGCATTATTAAAATTTTATTGGCATAGGTCTGAGATAATCAGAGGATTCTGTACTGCTCTTCTAATATTGAGCTGACTCGACAGTAATGCGCCAACGTTTGTATCATTGGTTTTTTTTTTAGTGTAATGTAGCAGTAGTAAAAGTAAAGGTAGTCAGTATTATGAATGAAGAAAGAATCCTAGGGTCGGTAGCCTTTTTTTTTTGTGCAATACTGCTCTTGATGTGAGAGTTTGTACCAAACAGACGTTGCTGATTTTGTAGAAATCTAATCTGAATCGATTTTCTAATTCCTGGTTTTTATTACCGATTTCTCATCAAACGCCAATGTATGATAATTTATATTGTGTTACAGCATGTTAAGAGTTCAACAAAAGATTCAGGACGGATTGCGTGTGCTCCAATACTTCACGATGCGCAATTGGGACTTCAAAAACGACCGACTTTTGGCCCTCAGGGAGACCATGAACTCCGCTGATCGTGAAATTTTCGATATGCACTTTGAAACAATGGACGTCGAAAGTTACTTTACCAACTGCATCTTGGGTGCTAGGCAATATTGTCTCAAAGAAGATCCAGCCAGTATACCGAGGGCTAGAAAAACGCTTAAAGTGTAAGTGTTTCAAATCAAACGGTACACACGACATCTTTTGAACGCAACGAGTGCCGTGTACTGTTTAATGCATAATATATCCTAACAAAACCAATTCATTTTTTTTATGTATGAAATATGTGTTTCTAGGTTGTACGTGCTGGACTTGATCTTCATCTACTTGAAGTACGCACTAGTGGCCTGGTTGTTTTACAAACTGTACTCGGTGGTTAACTCTGCGTTTTAAGTCGTTTCCCATAGTACACTTATCCCGCGTTACCTTATACTGTACACACTGTACCTATACTTTATTATTGTTGTTTGTTTGTTTTTTTTTTAAGGATTTTCTTTTTATTGACGATTCATATTCTACCGAAATCATTACGCCTCGACCGTTCTATCATCAAATCGGATTCTTAGGCTTTTACAATTATTTACTAATAAGTATTTACTAATACCGTCATCAAATCCAGACATCTGCACGTAGTTTTTTTGTTAATAGTAGATTTTTTTATTTCACTTCTTGTATTTCTTCTCCTTTCTCTGAACCACCACTACTGTACTGCACTGCCTTCGAAAATGACAAAAAGCCGTTCTGACTACAACACTAGGTATATGTATTCATAACGATATGCGCCCCGTCTCGTCGTCGCACCCCACGACACCCAAAGAGAAGAACACGCGTTCCGGCCGCCCCTTGAAAGTATTTAAACGCATTGTTCGCGCTCGCATATACAGAAGAAAGCAGACATCACAAGTGCCTTTTATAGTAATATACAGCCAAGCATCTTTTGTTCGTTCGACCACTTGCTTCGGGGGGTACTCGCTATACAGTACATATATATTATATTTCGCCGGCTTTTGCAAATGCGATATAAAAACGGTAGACGAGAAAAATATGTACTCTCTAGCTGAAAAAAAAATGTCCATCACTTAAGGTTCATTATGGCGGCCAAATACGCGACGCTGCGCTGTTTGGAAAAGTCGATACAAAAACATATGAAAAGGGGTATAAAGTAAACTGTTTTCTTGATGAATGTTTAAAGTGATTAAACGAAATAATGGGAGAAATGACCTTCGATCATAATTTGGTAGAAGAAAAACTACTTAAATGTTATACGCTATGAATAAAATAAAAATGAATAATTTTCTTTGCTTGTGTCTTTGCTGTATGTTTTTATCTTAATAAAAAAATTCGATTGCGCATCTTAGTAGCACCACCACGATTGAATATCCATTCACAAACTCTTAAGTAGGACCTATGGCTACCGCTGCAGCGTATTGCTTATCTAATTACATTAAAAGCGTTCATTTTCGTCTTCCAACCGATTACTGGTACTACGTAGTAGGGCAACCTTTATTTTTAGTAGTGAACAAAAATTATGTGTGATATACACGTTTTAAAGTCGTTTTAAGAGCTTTTCAAAACTACTTGGCCATTTGAAATACCTCGATTAGAAAAAATTTATAAAGATAAACAAAAAGTTTGATTTTTCACATGTCATTGAAATGCAAAAACAATGACCCATGAGCACATACTTAGACTTGAGATAAAAAATCGAAATTTTGAGATAATTTCCCTTTTGATAAGTACTATCTAATAGTATACCTGGAAACAAAAAAACACCTGAATACATATTGTAATACAATCCTTAATAACAACGGTAGAAGAGAAAAAAATGACCATATTTCGTCTTCCACTAAATTAAATATAATATACAGTTTAAACGGTGTTACCATTACATTCAATGCAACCAAAGAACTAAACCAATAATATTAACTATTTTGTATGGTTATCCAATTACAAAATATTATTATGCTTAATCATTGTTAAATAAATTAATACAATTTTAGTTTAAACAAATAAATCAAAATGTCAATCTATTATTACGATTTATCAATTATATTAGCTTTTAAGACTAAAATATAATATATGTACCTAATTTTAATATGTTAATATAATATATATATTTTTTTTATATGAATTCATACTATTTTCCTTCTTTTTATTTTATTATTATTTGTAATTTGTGGAAATAAATTCTATGTAAACTTTTTATACGTCGTACAAAATAAATGGTAGTATAAAAAAACATAGAATTTTTGAGAAATTTGAAAAATTAAGCGTTTTTTTTATAATATTCAGCGTCATTAGGAGTTCAGGGATAAGAGGCAGAGGACGCTCTTTGCAGAAACCCTGATGACTTTCATCATATTACACCCAGTTGGTAGTTTTGTCTGCGGCTACATTATAATAAAAAAAAAAACATAATGGGGAATTGGGCATTGTACAATTATGTATATACAATATTTAATTTGAGTGGTCTTATTAAAAAAATGTACAAAACTCAAACAGAAAACTGTGAACTGAAAAATGCAGAATAAACTTGATACATACCAAGTCAATTATTAGAAAAAACTTAACTCGTATGACTTGCAAAGTTTATTTTTATTTAGCTTTCAGTTATAATAATAATTATTGCAGTGTTTTTTTCTCAGTATATTTTGAAATACATCAACTGTAGATTTGTATAGATACTTTTGAAATAAAATTAATGACATCTGTAAGATCAAATTATACTTTGTTAATCATCTAAGTCAAAAAGTCTGTACGTGTATTTGAACTGGATTTCGAACTATTATTTATACTGTACTTCATACCATTTTTATCTTGTGTTTAATTTAAGTTTTGTTAGGCTCGAAATTCAAGAAATGAAAAAAAACATTATAATAAAAAATAAATAAATACCATTTAACTGTGGTGTAAATACAGTGTCTATTTTAAGACTATATTATATTTTATATGTATTAATTATCCAAATTGGAACATAAATAAATATTGTATTTATGCATTAAAATATTAAATGTCCAATTTACAATATGCAAATTTTTTATAATAGCAATACTTCTGCTTGATGTTATACCAAAAAGCGGTTTAAATTATAATTGGTAAACGAAAGCCCTTAATTAATATACTAATTATTAGTCAACACAAAATCGGCCAAAGTATAATTATTCTTTAAAATAACACTTTGATCGCGTTATGTTTTATTTAACTTCAATGTATTTATATAATCAGATTTAAAATTAGCATTAAGTATTAATAATTAAAAAATATTATTATTTTTATTACAAAAATGAAGAACACTTTAAAGTCCTATTGATTGGACTTGGAGAAACGAACATTTTAGTGTTGTGGTGTAAATGAAAATATTGTATTAAAGTACCTGATTTATACGTACAAAAATTCACTCATCCCTCAGACGACCGTTATACTTATTTAATTCCAATGTTTTTTGACAAACTTATCTAAACGTATAAATTGGTTCATAAATTGTTGAACACTTTTAATGAAGCCTAATTACTAGATATTAATCATATCTAATATGTATAGTGTATTTTAATAGCCGTTTTGGGTCCTCGAAAGCCTCGGATGTCCGGGGCCCGGGCATTTAACATAATATGTGGGATTCGCAAAGGAAAAACAAATGTAAAATTGAGTAAAATATATAAAATGTACAACATTCGTATTTGATAAAAAAAAAAGTGTTAGTAGTCCTTTTATAGATTTCGAATCCGAGGCCCTTTAGGTGCCAGACCTACCCCGGACACATGGGCATAAGGTGGAAAAATTAGCGCTTTACACCTACTCGCATATAATATATATATATATATACATACACAGCCTTATTGCGCTCACTCCGAGTTAACACTACGGGAGGGAGGGTACGCGTTTTACCGGGTTGCCGATTGTCGCAAGTGCATTAAGTCTGGTCAGGGGTGTTAGCGCAGTCGCCGGATATCGTCAGTATCGGTTAGACGCGCAACCCTCGACATGTTTCGCCGGCAGCGTGCCGCCGTTTTCGTCATCGTCGTACACATTTTTTTACCCGGTAAGATTTTTTTGTTTTTTAAATTTAAAACCCAAACGGTATAGTTATATGAAATAGTAATATACTACACCGGTAAACATGTACCAGTCACGAATAGCATGAAACAAAAATGAATCCCGACGATAATATTATACAAAAAAAAAAAAACCCCCCTTTCATAATTATCGTTTAACACCTATTTTCGGATAGCGGAGGATTCAAAGAAAAAGTCTCAATCAGCAAACGTTACAAATAGTCCATTCAATTGCTCAATAGCGGGGCAACGTTTCAGGTTATTAGTATGGGCGCTAAAACTCGAAAATACCATTTTTCCCCATCACCTTTTATTTTACTTTAATTACTAAAAATTAGAATACTATTTACAAAGTCATAATAGAATAATAATAACCGAACATTTTTGGTAGGCCAATAAGACATAAAATTGCCATATCCTGGAACCGTTTATATATATTTGGTTTTTTTTTTTAGAAACTGTTAATTTTAATACAATTTCACTCTATACGTGTATAGCTTAAACATCCACCGATTTTGACCATTTTTAGTAAATATAATTCAACAAAAATAATGTAAAATGTTATGGGGGCCAGAGTACTCAGACCCACAATGACAGAGGCTCAGTCCACAGATGTCCAATGATGCTTGGTTAAATCTACCTCTGCGGTTTACTAACTATAAAGTAGTTTTTCCTAGCTTTAAATAATTAGAAAAATTGTGTAAAAATTACATTATACTTACGAACCGTTCACAGATTAATTTTAAACAGAATACGTGCAAATAGAAGTAAGCTTAAAGGATACTATAAGTGCACGCCTCTCCATTTATCATTTGTCTTACCAAAATATGAAATGTTATATTATGTTATCAATAAATTGTGGAACTTAGGCCGTACTCCTAATACCTATTATAGGGTTTTGAAGTACTTATTGTATTAGTGTTGATACGTGTCTATAGTTTTTTTTAATTTTCCCCCCCATTGACTAATCTCACACGAGTAAACCCCCGTCATCATAATTCTTATCTTCTATTATTTTTAATATTAATAATATAATATATTTTTTTTTATTTGTCCACCTAAGCTTTTATTTTAATACAAATGCTGCTTGATAATTTATCAAAATTAATTGTTGTATAGTAGAGATTAAGAAATCTCTACTATACTTAGCATAATAAGATAATTGTTGTGCGGAAAGGCACAATAGTATTAGAAAAAGTCATAATAGTAAATAAATCGTATTTTCATATGCTTGGTTGCATGAACGTTCTATTGAAGGTTTTACTAGAAAATTGTAATATATGTATACATACATACATTGTCCATTATACGCGATCATAAGAACCAAAACGACAAATTCATTAATATATTTTGTCACTTAAAATTTGAACGTTAAACAAATTAGCTCATCGTTTTCATTATAAAAAGTTTTTATATTGTCTATGTTTTGTACTTCGTAGTGCAGTTTTTATGATATTGTTAAATTAATAAATTAGTTCATGAAATGTAATATTATACTGTGAACCGTTTAGGATAAAAAGTAATTGAATTGTGTTTGTACACGTCCTTTTGTGCAAACCAATGACATGCCGGTCACGCGATTCCGGCGAACGATAAAGCAACCCTAAGAGTACACTTTGTGTTTGTAACCAGCTCACTTCACATTTAAAACACATTATACAAATTTGTAATGTGGTTTACTCAATCTATAGCAATGTAATACATCCTTTTAAATATTTAAAGTATGAAAATAATACTGTAGTAATAATAATGTAGTTAGGTTTAAATATATGAAATAAATGTTTCACTAATATAATGTTTTTTTCATTACATGGTTCTTTTTCTACTGCCAACTGAAACTCTGACCCATATGAACCCTTATTAGTCGTTTTAAAATATTGTCCCATTTCAAAACAAAAAATTATTTGAAAACTGTCTGTTGTTAATTTTAACCATACCAATAACCTGGGATTTTTCAATGTACTAGCCTATGGCTATGGGGTTTTTGAAATGTATTTTTTGTTAATAACTTTTGTAATTGGTGTAGTTTTTACCGTCATTTAAGTTAAGATTGAGTAGTTAGTACCCAGTACCTACGTATACAAATGTATCAAACATAAATATCAAATTTAGTTCGGATTCGCTTCGCGGTCGTCTTGTGAACACATTAAACCACTAAACTTTTTTTTATTGTGTACAAATTTTATGTTGCCGGTTTCCTGTTCCGATGTAATTCGGAATTGCCGATAATGTATATTTTCCAACCATCGATTTTCTTATGAATCTAGCTCCTATTTTCCTTGTACTTCATTGACTATCTTATAGGGATCATTACTTATTTATTACTTCAGGTCGTCTATAGGCGTACCATACTCCCACTATATATGATCGTAAATGATAGCCAGACACATAAAATCTATTGTACTTGTGTTTATTAGTATCATGTTATATCCTCGACAACAGGACGTGTACAACAAATTATTTTGATCGTTTTATAAATCAAATTAAAAAAAATCCGTCTTGACAAATTATTAAAAAATAGGAGGTTCGTGAGATGTCTATGACAAGTGAAAACAAATCGATTAGGCGAGTCATTCGGTATCCGGAGAGATTTTAAGATTTTTTCTTTAAAATATAAACGATAATATGCGCTATCGTAAAAACGTATTAAATGAAATAATACCAACACATTTTATTTTCAAAAACAAAAATTGATCTATTAAAAATATCTAAATCTAATAGAATTAGAAGAGGATTTATAAATTGTTTTAATTGTTTATTATCATTGCATAATACTTGTCCCTAAACCATGTTTAAAGATTCGATAATTTTATTGATAAATTTGGCCGAGTACTATCGTCTATTTAGTCCGCCAGAAGGATAGATTTGAATTAAAATTTCATCGTTAATAGAACGGAAAAAAAAGTGCCGTTTGAATGAATTTATTGTTGAACGTCCTTAAGCTTGACGGGTGTCCCCAGCAGTTTACGGGATGATATAACTGACCTTACAACTGTTGTATAATATATGGAAATGACAACGTGTACACGACGCTTACACTAATTGGTCCACGATTACCCTATACAAAAAAACATTAGTTTGTGGAGTCAGTTGAAAAAAAAATATGTATCATACTACTGCTTCGATTTTTTTTACCAAACGTCACAGTTTCTGGTCCAGCATAAGCCATTTGTTTTTGAATATCTTCGTCGCGAATCATTCTCGCCATAATATCGCGTTTCATTTTGGAGCTTAAGTTTAATTCGGACTCCGTCGTAGCCTTATATACAGTGCGAGGGGCGAGATTAAAAAAAAAAAACTATCCCGCCTCCCAATGACCAAAAGGACTACGGGTTTCATTCGTTTATCACGATTCTTTTTTTATCACGCGGCCATGCAAAACTTTTCCGTTTACAATTACCTCGCCTTTACCGCGCCCCGCCGGATCTTCCTCAGTTTACTGTCCTGTTATAACGCACTTTATTTATCTGAAACGTCTACACCTTTTGCTGTGCCCTCGCGGTCGTCTGTTCGGCAAACTTTAATCCGACGTCGTTGCCGTCGCTTGTGATCGTAAAACGCAAGAGCCGCTTTATAAGGAGAAAAAAATATATTTATGTATACACAAGTAGAATATAACAGTTGTCGCTATGGGTGATATTATTGTACAACGTTAGCAAACTCTATTAGGCGTCTGTGCAGAAACGGTCCCGCGGCGCAGCGTTGAGAATTAAACGCCCAAAGAAAATAATATTTGCCACCGTAGTGTACCTGTCCCGGGCATTTCGAGTAAGGGGCTTCTCGCCGAGAGTTCTTATTTTATTTTAACTTTATGCGTTTCGTTAAGACTTGAAAAATGGTAAAAAAGTTTTTTGTCAATGGCACGGAGAGCGGCGCTGTTTCTTAAACGAGGCGGACGGTCGCCCCCCATAACAACATGACTTGGTAGCTTAAATACTATGAATAAAAACATGAAGTCCTACTCGGAAAGAGGTCGCTTAATTCGCAGATTCTATACCGACGTTCTTAAAATGTTCATTCTAACTCTGTCAAACATACTACAATATATTTTATGGCAAACTCGTTTTTGGGGGATTTTGTTGTAGTCATTTTTATTCGATGCAATTTGATAGTTATTAGTAATAAGTAATAACTGGTGTGAGAAAAAATGACATGATATGACCAATTATAGAAAATATTAATTATATTGATAAATTCTCGGGTGTAAGCTGTGATTATATTTATAGTTATTACGTTATGATTTTTCAAATTTTTGAATTAAAAATCATACTTTTGTATATACTCTTATTGATATAGGTAAGAACGGTAATGCGCAAAAAACAAAACGTGTCACTCTTGGCTATACAGACGCGTACGAGAGTAATGAGTTTTAGTTTCTGCGCACTTTTGTTCTAGTATGAGATAGAGTATAGTAATGCCTATGCAAAATGATGACAAGACTTAAAATCTGAAAAATTAGCCGTTAAGGAAAGTTTATGTTAATATCCTAAACACGGAACTCCTGTGAACTAATACAGTCCAATAAACAACAATAAAATAAACGGATACTTCATCTAAAGTTTATTCTATACGTTTAAATTGCTTGTTTTTTTTTTGACGAATAAAATATTTTTATTAGTATCCAAAAGGATACTGTAAATTGAAATACTTAATTTTGTTTTAAATATGTAGATGCAGTAAAATGCTTATTTTATAATATTTTAAGCTCATTCATTTTGGTATTTTGAAGAAAATAGAATGATTTTTGTAATAATGATAAGTTTTTATCAGTCATTTTTATAAAAAAGCTAAACCATACATTTCAATTTATTTTTTATACAACGCTTAACTACCCGGATGTAATTTACATAAAATATTCAAATGTATTACTTTTTAAAAACATTTTAATAGAAGTAGACAAATGTTTATTTTAAATATTTTATTTTTTACTCAATTATTTGTCAATATTATTATTGTTTACTCTTATTACTGATCATGAAGCGGAATA